CCGCCACTCAAATGCAGCTAGTCTTCCAGTAGTTTCCACAATCCCCCAGCATCTCTGTATGCAGCCTGTGTGCTCTTCTTGGGAAAAAAACACACCACACTGCTGCTTTCTCCTGGGAAAGAGTCAGCACAAAAATGCCCACCACTGCATCTCATACCCTACATCGGCCTCCTTCCAAAATGAGAGTCCCATGCCCAACCTCTGGCATAAACCAATTTTAATTTAGGGTATGTCTTCACTACCCGTCGGATTGGCGGGTAGTAATCGATCTATCGGGATCGATTTATCGCGTCTCGTCTAGACGTGATAAATCGATCCCCAAACGTGCTCCCCGTTGACTCCGGAACTCCACCAGAGCGAGAGGTGGAAGTGGAGTCGACGGGGGAGCCGCGGCCGTCGATCCTGTGCCTGAGGGCCAGAGGTAAATCGATCTAAGATACGTCGACTTCAGCTACGGTATTCTAATAGCTGAAGTTGCGTACCTTAGATCGATCCCCCGCTCCCCGCAGTGTAGACCAGCCCTTAGTGTTGCCAGACTAACACCACTTCTGCCATATGCCCAGAAATAACAGACAAGTTCTCCTACAATACACTGAAAAAGAATTTATAGACTCAGCATACTGCAGCACTAAGAACCATAGGATGTGCCCCCAGAAGCCTAAGTGCCACACACGAATACTGTACCAGTACAAACACAACTCAAGTGTTATTTCACAATGTGGTCACTCTCACTAGGGCTAACTTGAGTGCAGTTTACTCAATTTAACTCTATGTGGATGACATACCCCAAATCATGCTTGAACACGCTCCTGCAGCAGTGTAGAGAACTCTACATTGCTGATGCCTACGCTGTTTCAGATTCTGTTGTCAAACTGCACTTTTCACATGATATAAATTATTTTTTGTAAAGCGACAATATCCTTAAATATATTAAATGCAATAATTCCTCTAAAATTTTACCTGGAAGCGTTTAAATTTTATTTTAAAATCATGTTTATATGGGTTATATTCAGCAAAACTAGTATTGCACCTTTTCAATTCAAGTCTACAATTTGTTTTTGCTTATTGTAATTTGAAGATAATTTTTTCTGCAGCATGTGTGTCAATACAAACTTAGGTACATCCACACCACAAATGCAGGTGTAACTATAGTGTGGGTAGGGATATCACTGTTAAATTTAACCTAGCTAGTTCAGGTAATAATTGCAATGAAGACATGGACCCTGGCATGGGGTTGCAACTTGAGTACATACTCAGGGTCCATATCAGGCTTGTGCTGGAGTGGCTAGCCACACTGAAGCCCATGCTGCCACAAATTCACTACTATTGTTACCCAAGCTAGCATAGGTATGCCTACCTGTGTTACAATTATACCTTAATTTGCGGTACATACATACATACCCTTAGAAGAAGAAGAAGGTTAAATATTTTATTGGTGTATTTAACAGATTAAGAGTTTGCAAATATTTTTACTGTACAAAAAGCAAACAATTGTGCATCAGTATATTCCAACAGTTCTCAAACTGTGGGTTGGGGCCCCAAAGTCAGCTGGTGTGTAGACTTGCCCAAGCCTGACCTCTGCCACCTGAAGTCCTATTGATTTTATATGGCAGGTTCTCAGACGCTAGAGTGATAGGCGGCAATATGAAATCTTAAAGAGAGAATTCAGAACAGACCTGTTCAGCAACACAATCTGCATTCGATATATTGCATTCAGTATTAATTCTCTGTGCACTAACTCTACTCAACACAGAGTCCAGTCCAAAGCTATCTTGATTTTCAAAATGCAGCACAAAAATGGACTCAACTATCTTAGAAACCATCCCTCCCCCCTGCAATCATGACCTCCCCACAACAGCTATACTCTACTGAAGCAATTAAACCACCATCCAGTAGATAGAAACTTGTGAAGATGGGAGATGAAGAATCTTCACGGGAACTGGCGCCAAGACTATGGACCTCATTGCCAGATCAAATAATGTTGATCAATAATCTTGCTGCATTCAGAACTAAATGCAAACCTGTTGACTAAAGTTCTCTTGCAACATAGTCTCATATTTTTGTATTAATTACAAAACCTCAACTTGCCGCTTTGTGGCAAGGGTGGAAAAGTATTACTGTGTTTTACTGGCGGGAAGTGCTCGGAAACTATGGTAATAGATACGAGAAAAAGGGGATGGATAGAAAAAGAAAAGTAGCAAAAAACTAATGAGAACAACATTGTCTTTTCCTATCTGTTATAGAAAAAGCAAGAGAAACATAGTACATGATTTTTTAAAAATGGATGACTAGAAGGTTGACAATATGTTAAATACAGTGCTAAACTGTTTTATTCTTTTGATTTACAGAAAGCATGCCCTCAAAAGATGGTTGTGTGCAAGTGTATTTAACCCTGGCTAGTCAGCTTAGTTAGGTTAGGCTAGCAGGTGCGCCTGAACAATAATAATAAAAGTCACATTGTACAGGCGAATTCCTGGATATCATTTTCAGAGAAAGAACTAAAGAAATAACCAGTATGTTAATGGGTTAATAGCAGAAATAAAAAGGAATATGGAGTATACATGTAATTGAAGTATTCTTCCTTTCGTGAGTTTAAGATATTCCCCAAAATGCCTAACAATCAACAGCCCTTTTCAAACACCTTAAATTATAGTACTAATAGAAGTACAATTTTTCAAAGTTTGCAAACAATTTTTCAACCTGCACAGAAAACAAACAGCAGCAGCAAACCTGTACAGTAAACCTTTTGCCCTTTTCTGTAAATCAGCATTAATTTTTGTGCCAAATTCAGTGCGAAATGATAGGACAAAAAAAAGCGGATACTTGCCTGCTGTTTTTGATATGCAGTGTTTGGATTTATCTTTGATTCCAACAATAGAGAACCTGAAAAGGTGATAAGGAGTTATATTTAGGAAGTTTAATAAAACAAAAATCTCCATGGCTCTTATAACTTGCCATGTGCCAATAAATATATTATATTTAATTAAATCAAATCTTCTAGCCAGTCCAAGAGAATATTTTGCATTTTAATGGAAATCCCTACACCTGCTGAATAAGCCAGGTAACAGACAAAGCCAAAATAAAATATTATTTAAATTTAAAACACAATTTAATTTACTTTAGAGTCAATGTTCTGTGTATTGCTATTTTTCTGCTGTCCTGTGCAGTAATCTGACAACTGCGGAGAACATTTTATAAATAAATGCTAACTAGTACTAAATTATAACAAAGAGTTTATGATAAAAATTTACTTGCCCACACAAGAATGTGCATTTTTTGCTCTCATCTCCTTGAGGTGCCCTTCAGAAATGAAAAATCTAGACTCTAACCCAAAGACTTTATTGTGTGTAAGTAACATATGTATCCTGGCAACAAGTCTGGAGTAATCTATACCAGATCTCAGAAGGTTTATTTAGCACATTAGCACCTGTCAGCTGACAAAGTTGTCACTATGATTTTTTTCCTTCTTAAAAAAAAAAAAAGTTTTTCTAGGTGAACTTAAACACACAATTAAAAAAAAGCAAGCAACACAAACAAAAAAACCACACACCAGCGAGTTTCACCTTTCCAAAACAGAGAATTTACAAAAAGAAATTCCCTGCACATACAAGAAAAAGGAAAACCCCATTCAGAAAAGAAAAAAAATCAATATTCTGTTTTTTTTTAATCTGGGAATACTTATAAAAGAAATTTTGAACAAGGGGTGTCGCTTAAATAGACTTCATCGTCACTCACTGCTAGGTAAGGGCTGGCAGACTCAGTCACTGGCGGTAACGTTAAGGAAGCGTTTGGAGTCACTTCAGTGCAGACCACACTCGGCCTCACTGGGTGGAGAAAGTAAGTTTGGAGGAAGAAGTCCCCCAGAGACGCTGCCTCTCAGGGAACGGGGGAGACTCCCTCTAATAAGCCCGACCCACGGAGGAATGGCGTGTCAGTGCCTGGGGCTTTGCTGGGGCAAGACAAGGCCAGACTAGGAGGCTGTGGTGGGGTCAGTGTTTGCGGGTCGCTGGGCGGGGGAGTTGTCACATTTTCTCCCCTTCCCCAGTCCCGTTGTCCCAGCAGCCAGGCCCAACCCTGTGAACGTGTGAGTCGGGTAGTAACCGGCTGGGGTAGGAATGGCACCATGGGGGCCAAAGCGCAGGCCACCTTCCCGGCAGGCAGGGCCTAGGCCTGCCCGCAGCTCCTGGCTCCGCTCTCACCGTCCGACTCGGCCCGCACCAGCAGCGACATCCCCTTGAGCCGCTCCACGTAGGTGGAGGAGACGTGCCCGGTGCCCCTGTCGTCCCATTGCCGGTCCTCATTGAGGGTATAGACCTTCACCCGCCGCCGGGTGTCCGACATGGTGCAGCCCGACCAGGGCCTCCGCGCCGGTTCGCCGCCTCCGCGGGGTCGGGAAGTCGCTCACGGGCAGCGCGGGGTCTTTAACACGCCGCTTTTCATGGCTCCTTGAAGGCAAGAGGGGAAAGTTGAGCCCCCAGCCCGGCCCCCTCACTCCGCGCCGCCGCCTCAGCAACTACCACAGTGCGGCCGCCATCTTGTAACCCGACTCTCTTGCCTTTCTCTTCCTTTCAGCAGCGCGTGCCACGGGCTCCACTCGCAGGGGCTACGGTGGCCGAGAGCCCACGCGCTGGTGCTGAAAGGACGGAGGGGGCGGGCTATAAATACCCGCCCTGAGTCCACCTCCCCCTCTCCCACACACTATAACACCCTCCCACCACTGACCTCAGCCCCTCCCCCCCTTTCAGAGTCCAGGGACAGAATCCACCCCCTTTTCAGAGGTGCTAGAACTAGGCATGCAGTAGCACCACTGTCTTGGAGTAGTTTCCATTACATACGGTTCACAATTTGGTTCAATGGCTCTCAGCACACATACACACACCCCATACAAATTGTTCCAGCATCCATGGACACAGTGCAACCACTGCCCCTGACAATCACAATCCTGCTGCCCCCAACAGCCACTCTAGGGCCCCGAGCCCACTGTCCCCATGAACTAAGTCCCCCAAGGACCTCCACCAGCATGGACCCCAACAGAATCTTACACCAGCCCCTGAGACACCCCAACACTTACTGACCTGCCTCTCTCCACTTCATTGGTGCGGACGCAGGGGAAAGAGATCAGTAACTCTAGGGGCTTATCGAAGGGGGCTGGAGGATTCAGTGGTTTGTTCGTAAAAGCCAAACCTCTCTGATGGACTATAACCTTGTCCTGGTGGAGAGGGTTGTGTGAGCTAACGACCCTCAGAGCTACATCGACCGGAGCTTTCATACTCCTGGTAGGGTCCCCTTTGGCGAGCAGGTGTGAGGCGAGGCTCCTGACTAACCCTGGTCCAAACTTAAGACCCCAAACGTGAATCAGGTGCATATAGAGGACCTTTTAATACTCTGCATCTGTGAAGGTGAATGAGGGCTGCAGCAAGACAGAGGTCCCTGGTTGTCTTGGATCTCCTTGTCACTGGGTCAGGGTTTTCCTCCTGCCAAGTCTCATGTGGTCACCACCTGCACACCGGTTTCCCCACATTAAAAGATTTCACACGCAGGCCTCTGCTAAAGGGTTCATACCCACATAATCTCGGCGGTGACGGACAAGTGGCGGTGAAGACGAGAGCCGTGATCTCTTGGCGTCTTTAATCATAAATCTGCACATAGGCGGCAGCCATGTGACAGTCATTTTGTGTTTGGATGAGAGAGAAGTGCATTTTGGCAGCAGAGACTGAGTCTGAGCAGGCCTTTTTAGGATCCCCTCTGCACACCCAAACATAGGCTGTCTGATACTCTTCCGACTGGATGGACGCATCCAGTGGGATCACTCAACTCCGCAGCCAAAACAAGAGATACAAGACAATGAATTTCACCACCTGGAGTGTCCACACCCTTATGGACTTTCAGCACAGTGAATGCCCAGAAAGAACTGCCATAATTGCCAGAGAACTGGCAAGACTCAACATTGACATTGCAGCTCTTAGTGAGACCCACAGGGCTGATGAGCGCCAATTAAAAGGACAGAGGTGGCTAAACCATCTTTTGGAAAGGAAAGTCACCTGAAGAGAGAGACATTCACCGGATTGGCTTTGCCATCAAAAATAATATAGCCAGTCAGCTTTTGGAGCTTCCAGAGGGATCAGCGAGTGTCTCATTACTGTTCGGCTCAAGCTCAGCAAGAACCAATAAGCCACAATCATCAGTGCATACGCCCCAACACTTGATGATGAGGAAAACAACAAGGAACAATTTTATAGTGCCTTTGATGCAGTCCATACCACCACACCTAAGGCAGACAAACTCATCCTTGGGAGATTTCAATGCCAGAATCAGACAGGAATCCCAACTCTGGAATGGCACAATAGGCAAAGAAGGGGTGAGAAATGTAAACCCCAATGGTATTCTCCTCCTCAGAAAGTGTACGGAGCATGACCTGCTCATCATAAATACCATCTTTAGGCAAAAAGAACAGGAGTACTTGTGGCACCTTAGAGACTAACAAATTTATTAGAGCATAAGCTTTCG